CACGGGTAACGGAGCACGGGACACGGGTAACGGAGCACGGGACACGGAGCACGGGACACGGGTAACGGAGCACGGGACACGGGTAACGGAGCACGGGACACGGGTAACGGAGCACGGGACACGGGTAACGGAGCACGGGACACGGGTAACGGAGCACGGGACACGGGTAACGGAGCACGGGACACGGGTAACGGAGCACGGGACACGGGTAACGGAGCACGGGACACGGGTAACGGAGCACGGAGCACGGGACACGGAGCACGGAGCACGGGACACGGAGCACGGGACACGGAGCACGGGACACGGAGCACGGAGCACGGGACACGGGACACGGAGCACGGGACACGGGACACGGAGCACGGAGCACATTACATTAGTCATGTAGCAGACGCTTTTATCCAAAGAGACTTACAATAAGTGTATTCAACATCGGCATTCAAGAGAACTACTCGTCACCAGAAGTCATAAGTGCATCTCCTTTAAACAATCATCTCAGAGCATAAAACAGAGCAGACGTACAGAAACAAACTAATATGAATACAGTAAGTGGTGAGTGGAAGGCTCAGGGTAGCACTTCTTGAAGAGTACGGGACAAGAGACACTGGTACAGAGCTCATGTACGGGACACTAGTAATATATACGTGTACTGTATACTGGTATGTAATACGACCCCCCCCCCCCCCCCTCACCTTGTCAGGAGAGATGGCAGAGTCCTCACTGGAGGCCGATGATTCTCTGCGACACAAACACGTCTGTTTAGATTTCTCCTTCTCTTCTTCGTGAGTTTCCTCGCTGCAACACTTCTTCTTCATGTCCTCTGACTCTTCTTCGGCTTTTTGTTCTGTTTCCGCTCCATCTGGTGTCGTTTCTTCCTCTTCATCACCTGGTGAGACACACAGGAAGTGAGACTTTCAAATGAAACTCAAGATTCAACATCTCAATTGTTTGTTTTTTTACATCTTTTATTAATACTGATCTTGTTTAGTTTATAAAATGTCATAGAATAGAGGGACATTGCAACAAACATTAAATAATATATATGTTTAACTAAAAGAGTAAAGACATGTCATTGCTCAAGAAAGACAGTGTGAACGGGTTCAACATGATTACTGTCCCCGAGGATCCAGTAAAAGCCTCGTTAGACACTTATTTTGTAGGGACTTCCTGTTCACTCACCCTCCTGGTCATCAGCGCCTCCTCCCTCCTGGTCATCAGCGCCTCCTCCCTCCTGGTCATCACGCTTCCTCTTCAGCTCCTCCAGAGCGGCAGGAGAAGGAAGTTTCTGACGGAGAGGTTTGATGTTGAACGCCTGGAACACTTTCTTCTCCTCAACCGTCTCCAGCTCTGATGGGTCCTCTGCTGCTGGTCCAGGTTCAGGAGCTGGTCCAGGTTCAAGAGCTGGTACAGCAGCAGATCCAGGAGATGGTCCAGGAGCAGATCCAGGAGATGGTCCAGGAGCAGATCCAGGAGCTGGTCCGGGAGCCGGTCGGCTCTGTGTAATACTGGCAGTGTTGTCGAGGGTCTGGGCTCTGGGGGACCCCATGGGCTCCAGGGCCATGGTCTCTTCTTTGCGGATACATTCCAGCTCCAGCTGGATCTGCTTGTACTTGGACAGCAGGTCCTCGAAGGACTCGTCAACACTGGTCTCTGGTTTAGAGACACTGTGAGCAGCTTTCCTGCTCTGGTTCCTCCCCGCCTGCTTCTCTGAGGACCACGGTTAAAGAAAGACCTTCATCTGATCGCTCACTCATTCATTTAAACATTCATTCATTCATCACAGTTTATCACGATATAACATCCACCATGCACAGCTTTATCATTATTCTCTTTTATTATTATTATCACCTCCTGTTAGTATTCCACTGTTTACAGCTTTATTATTTGAATCATTATTATTATTATTATTATTATTATTATTGTAACCATTATCATTATTATTTTAGTCATTATTATTATTTTAATAATTATTATTGTAATCATTATCATTATTATTTTAGTCATTATTATTATTTTAATAATTATTATTGTAATCATTATCATCATTATCAATTATTTTAGTCATTATTATTTTAAGAATTATCATTATTATTTTAATAATCATTATTATTATTATTTTAATAATCATTATTATTATTGTAATCATTATTTTAATCATTATTATTATTGTAATCATTATTATTATTGTAATCGTTATCATTATTATTATTTTAATCATTATTATCATATAGGCCTGTATTCTAATTGAATCAGTAGGTTTCTATCACACGAAATCTATTACCGAGCCGGTGAAAGGATACGTTTCCTCGAGGGAGAGTCTTTATTCTCTCCGGGCCCGTAACGACCGGAGGGACCGAAGTTGTTACCACCTCCTCTGATGTTTCCTCTGATGTTTCCTCGGTTGTTACCACCTCTGCCACGGTTCCAGCACCCCCGTCCACCGTTCGGCCTGAACCGGCCCAGAGCTCCGTGGCTCCGCTCCCAGAAACTGGTCCTCGGACTCTGGTCTCCGTGAGGACCGAGACCCAGAGGAGGCGTCGTGGTGGAGGAACCAGGAGGCCGGTCGGGCCCGCTCGGCCCACACTGCTGCCGGTGGTTCGGAGGGAACGGACCGTGAGGTCCTCGGTTATAAGACATCAGGAGCCGGAGGTCCGGAGCCACGTGCTGCTCCACGTTGTGAGGCCGTTGGTGAGGTTTTCGTGTCCGAGCACGAGCTCCTGGTCCCGGCCTCACGTTACCATCCCCCCGCCGGAGAGGAACACTCTCCTCGGTCTCATCATCGCAGATTTCTCCGTCCTCCAGCTCGCCCTCCTCTCTGTTTACGTCCATCTTGTTTTAAAACTCACCCTAACCCTGCGGCTGTAACCTCATCGAGCTGAATACGGTAAATAAGACGGTAAATAGTTCATGTTTCACCGGACAGACGGTCGGTAACGAGTCGGTCCGCTCTGACAGTTAGCTAGCAAGCTAGCTTGCTTCTCCGCTCTGCTCTCATCCAACGCTCACGAGACTGACCAGACCGGAAGCTGCCCATATAAGGGACCCGGATGACGGGAGTTCCAGCTTCCTGGTCCGTCGCGTGATGTCATGGGACTTACATCGAGAGTATGTCTTTCTTTTAATGATAATATTAATTTAATAATAATAATACAAATGAAATACTCTAACAGCTGAATCCATAACGCTCTCTAAATCCATAATTGTACTGGTGACGTCGAGATGAACTTCATGAAGATAATTACATCTCAAAACATGTTAAAAAAAAACTAAACTATACACATTTATAAATTATTATAATGTACAACAATCATATATATTATAAAATAATGTAGTGTAATATAATATAAAATGTATAGATGGATACTTTATTCATCCTGTGGGGGGATTTGTTTGTTACAGCAGCAAAAAATATACTAAAGCAATTAAAGTAACAGAGTAAAAAATTAAAGTATAAAGTATAAAAATGCACAATATATACAAATATAAAAAATGCACAGTATATACGATGAAATAGTATGGTATTATTAACTAAGCTAAACTAACAGTAGTGCAAAGATTAACCACAGCAAACAAACAACAGTGTAGCAGGGTTATATGTTATATGTTATCTGTTATATGTTATCTGTTATCTGTTATATGTTATATGTTATATGTTATCTGTTATCTGTTATATGTTATATGTTATATGTTGTGTGTTATATGTTATCTGTTATATGTTATATGTTATGTGTTATCTGTTATATGTTATGTGTTATATGTTATGTGTTATGTGTTATATGTTATGTGTTATGTTATATGTTATGTATTATATGTTAAATGTTATGTGTTATATGTTATGTGTTATATGTTATTTCACATAATACATTACATTATATTATATAATGTAATAGTATAATGTAATAAAATATAATATAACATAATATAGCATAATATAATATAGCATAACATAATATAACATAATATAATACAACATAATATAATATAATATAATATAATATAATATATAATTAATATAATATAATATAATATAACATAATTTAATATAATAAACTGAAAATGTGTGAAGACTTAGTGCGCATGCCTGCCAATGCTCTCCACCGGAAGCTGACTTGTCCGTTTTGTTTTGGAAGTTGACAGGCACGTGAGCCGCTGACGTCATCAAGAGAGAGAAGGCGACAACATGGCGGCGGACTCTCTCCTAAAGGTAGAAACACATGTAAATATATGTTATACAAGTTTAGATTATACAGTTGTATGTTATGTATGTATACTGTAAATACATATATATGTTTGTATTAGTTTATAGAGTTCACTAACCAGCTGAGCGGTTAGCTCAGGCTAGCTAGCATTAGCCGATGTGCTAGCTGTAGTGTGACGACATCACCAGCGATGCCACGAGAGCACAGCAGTGACCTAAACCCGTCTGTTTATGTAGTTTATAGATACACAACACCTAGCGGAGGCTCCTACATGCTAACAGCTGTGCTAACGTTAGCATGTTGCTAACGTCACCCTGTGTGACCCTAACCCGTGACTGTATTCTGTCACCACATCTTTAGTTAGCCTAAAGTGTATCTGCTCGTTAACAGCTACCGTTAGCAGGCTAACTAACATCTGTTTACTGTCTAAACACCTGCTTCACTGAGCTACACACGTTCTGTACGTGATGCTCATCACTGTACCAGCTGATCAACAAGAAGGTTTTTAATGAATCCTCACAGACTCTTCAACATAAACACCAGTTGTAACACCGAGTTGTGACTCTGTTTCCTGGGTAGGGTTACTTATATAGGATAATATATAATATAGTTATAGGTTTGTTGGAAACTTTATTGTCCACAATGTGGAAAAGTGTCTTTGTCTTCATGACATGATGAACCAATGAGACAACAGTAAAAACACTATGAAATATAATGAATACAATGTGACAGAGTCCTGTGGATGTAAAGTTATTTAATAATTAAACTGAAGCTTTTAAAATGGGGTCAATAGATGTGTTGTTATGTGGAGATCTTTGACCTGGAGACAAGTTTATCACATCAAATGTGTAGCATAAAAGGTAAATAAACTATATTTTGATATTTATTGAAGACATTTTTCACCTGTGCCTTTTTAGAACAAACTTTTAATCTTGTTTACAAAATGAAAAAAATGTTATAATCTGATATAAATATATAATAGCTTTACATTAACGAGTGAAACAGTTGTTATGGTATAAAATATTGTTATATAATATAAGTTCTTTGAATATCACCACTTTGTTAAAACATTAACAATAAACATTTGGTGAAATTGTCTACAGATTGAGATAGTATATAAAATACATGTATCTATTCATATTATATCAGGTCACTGAATAATCACATGAATATTGGTAAAGTAACCGTTTGATAAACAAGAGCAATAATCTATGGAACATGGGGAATGTAAAATAAAACAATATATAGCAAGTAAGAACATCATATTTCATACAAATCATGTTAAACACAGAAGAATGTGTTCATTCTCAGAAGGAGCACAGACATAAGTTCATGACTACCTGAATATGAAATGATGAAAGTGGATCTAACTCTCCCAGGACGTCTGTCACACAGATCATATTTGAACACGAAGGAGTCTTCATCCATCCGAGCAGCGATGAAGACGCCATCGAGCAGGATTTACTCGTCTCGGGCTCTCTTCGGATTGTTGACAAGGTAACCGGTTAACTCCTCGCTGTTGTTCCTCTGTTCATAGCTCACACACGGACTGTTCTCATCAGTTCTTTTACGCTTTATGTTCTGAAGCTCCACCACACTGTTGAGTCCGACCTCTTCTAGTCTTCGGCCTGTAGTTTGTTAGCCGGCTGTGTGTTCGCTGTCGTATTCACGGCTCTACGTGTTCTTCTCAAAGCGCTGCAGATGCTGAGGTTTGAGACCAGAGCATACAGTTTAGAAAGTCATTATGCAAGAGCTTTGAAAGGAATCTAGTGCTGACGAAATTATGTATTTATTTATTATTAATGCATATAACATGGACATAGGCAGCGCCTCCGACTATAACCAGGTATTATAAGCAGCACAATCCATAATAAGTGATGGTTTCAGCTCTATTGGTCTTAATAATGAGTCGTAACACGGACTGTTTGATTCTCCACACATCAGGATGCTGAGGTCATTGTTGAGTTCAAACCTGTGGAAGAAACAGTCGACACATCAAACATGCTGTGTGCTGGAAAGGTTTGTTTTCTTCTTCTATAGCTACAGATACACCATGTATTTATATATATGCGTGTATACATATGTATGTGTGTGTGTGTGTGTGTGTGTGTGTGTGTGTGTGTGCGTGTGTGTGTGTGTGTGTGTGTGTGTGTGTGTGTGTGTGTGTGTGT